GCACTCGAAGGGGCTACCTCGAAAACAGCGCCACGGCAGCTGCGACTCGCGGACGCCCAAGAGTAACACAGCGTGCAGCTTGGAATCTTCGAGGGCGCTCCGGTGCGCGAAAAACGCATTGCGAACATCACGCAAAGAACCTGCGCGACGGAATGCGCTCGACCATTCGCCCCTGCAGCCAGCGCGGAAGAACAGGAAAACCTGGAAATCTTGAAAACTATCAATATCAATACTTCATGCTCCTCTGAGACAACGGCGCGCCGCCGCGCGACGAGCAGGCGGTTGCGACGACGGTTCGCCTAGCCTTTTTGGCTTGGCTTTGACCGCGTCGAAACTAAGGGGAGGAGGGGGGAGAGACGGGGAGGAGGGGGGCAGAGGCCGGAGGGGCGGGGCAGTGCGCTCGACAGAAGCGTCTTCAGCATTTCTTTGAATTCCAATTTCTTTGCGTGCTGGGGCAGCACCGTGGCCCAAAGGACCCTTGGAACGCCTGCGGCGCGGCGCGGCCCAACGCCCGGAATCCACATCCAGAGCGGAGGGCGGGGCCAGCGCGCGGCACGCCACCGCCGCTTCCCCTTCGCATTGGGGTCCCCTTTCGCTGAAGCACTGCCGGAATTCGCGGGGCCTTTCCCCTGAAAAGGATTCCCCGTGCTGGCGTTCTGACTCTGCTCCAGGCTGAGCCCCCTGTGGCCGCTCCTCTAGCTGCCTTTGCCCTGGCCCCCCTGGGGCCGAAGCGCCAGCTGCTCATGCGCCTTAGTCTCGCTGCGCATCATGTACTTTTCCTTCCTGCTGACGGGCGTGGCCGAGTCGTCCGCGAGAAGTTCGAAGAAGCACGCGCGCTCCCACGACTGGTACACCACAAACTGCTCGACGGCTTTGAGGTGCTGGATTATGAAATCCATTGCTTTGTCTACTCTGTTCCGGGCGAGGAGAGCTTGCGCATGACGGCCATGTCGTTGCGGTTGCGCTTGGGCAGGCTGTATTTCACCTCGAGCACCCTGACAAAGCAGGCCGACGCCGCTGCCATAGGGCCCTTCTTGTGGTCGTCGCTGTCGCTGTTGGCCCCTCCCCCAGGAATCACCCTCTGCGCCATGGTCCACATGGCGCTCCTGGAGAATCTCCTTGGGCGCTTGCGCGCGAAGCGCCTAAGACGTTTCTGCGTGGACTTCTGTTGAATGCCTTCTGCGGTCGAGGCCACGTGAGAACCCATCTCGCACGAGTCGCTGCAGCTTGGCTCGCTCCTGGGTTTGCGCTGGCGGGGGCTGCGCGAGCCCCGCGAGGCCCGCCTGCGGCTCGACCTGCTGCGGGGCAACGGGCCTCGGGGTTCCCTGCCCCGGTCGCCTGGCGAACCCCGTCGGCCCGAGGGAACCGCGTCGGCGCCCTGCTGGGCTCGCTGGCGCCCGTCCCGCGGGGCGGGGCCGCCTCGCGGCGGTTTCGCGGCGCTCTGCCAGCGTCGTCGCGCTCGGCCGGCGAGCGCTCCCCCTGCGCCGCGGGGGCCGCGTCGAGGCGGCCCCGCGGACTGCCGCCAACGTCGTCGTCCTCGGCCTGCCTGCGCCCGCACCAAGGCGCTGCGACCGCGTCGCGGCGGCCGCGTGAGCGGCTCTGGGGGCGCCAGTGGGCCCTTTGCTCCTCCCGTTACCCCCTGGGGCGGTGGCGGCCCTCGCCGGCCTCCAGCCGCGAGCGCTGATCCTTTCAAGGAGGACCTTCTTTTTCAGGCTTGGCTTTTACGCCCACCCGATGTTATGATTTTTTTTGTATGTCGTTCTGGCCGAGTGGCCGCCACGACTGGATGTGTATCATACCTTGATTATGGTGACGGTTCCGGCACGCGTCTCCGATCATGGCGCACACGTGATGGATCTCTTCTTGAGGCCTTTTGGACAGCATTCACCAGGCGTAATAGTCATCCTGGGCAGCAAAGAACTTTCCTTCGACGTTAACGCGCCCTGTCGGAACGCAGTCGGCCCAAATGACCTTGAGGATGTATGTTCCTTGCGCCTCGCCCTTGTCGTCGTAGGCGGCCGCCTCCAGCAGCCCGCCTCTCATAACTTCCTCCAAGAGTTCCCCGTCCGCTAGGGTCCATGCGTGGATCCATGGCCGGGACATGCGGCTGTGAGAGATCGGTGCACCAAATTTCAATACAACAGTCGACACGGCAACTCAAAACTCAAATACCTCATGAGATTCAAAGTGCTATGGCATGACTGACGCTTCCCTGCTGATGCTACCTGCTCCCCCCTCCATGGTGGTCGTCGGCTAAGTGTGAATCACTGGGCCCCCTGCTCACACAAAAGGCCCTGTTCTTACACCGCAAGCACACCGGTTTTCAACGTGGGACGCGAAGGTTCTCAACGCGTGGGCGTGGGTTTCTCCGTGTGGGTGCTATTTTCGGAGCCAATGATGGAAGGTCTTTGGTCCCATAGGAAAAATGCACATGCAAACCTGGGGCCCAAGGCTCAAGCCGTAATCTTGAGGCGGCGCCGTGGGCGGCGGGCGGGACAAGGGCCCACACCGGCAACCCGGCATCCAAAACACTTTGGCATCCTTGGGACGGCAATTTCTGCTTCTGTCGGCTCCCAGCGGAGCCGCCCTGGTTTTGTTTCCGCCAGCTTCCGCCAGCCTTCTGCTGCCTTCCGCCGAGGAGGAGATATTAACTTCTGGATTTCCCGACGACCCTAAAATTCGACGTGGCGAACGAACATGCAAAATCGCGACATGTCCACCTGAGGGCTAAACCCCATCTTTCTGCGGCATTTTCTGGGCCGGATGGATCTGTGCCCTGGAGCCCGCAACTGGGCGAAAACGCATGGCGTGGCAGCAATTGCAACGCCCCGACCTCAAGATTGCCTTAGACCAGAAGAACAACAAGCGGCAGAAACATAAGTTTTCGGATGTCCGCGCGGATTTCTTGGATCCCCCTACCTTGCGCGCAGGGCGCGCCAAGGGCGGCGCCGCAGGCGCGGACCCCAGCGCCGATCCATCACATCCACGCGGGCCTTCGTTCTTCTGGCCGCGGAGTCTCAGCGCCACCAGAAATCCATTGCGCTGTGGATGCAGTGCCCACACGCGAGGCAGACGGAATGACAACGTTTATTTGTTGCCACGCGCAGCCCGCAGAGCCTGCAATACCGAAGCAGTCATCCGCCGCGACGTCTATGTGCGAATCAAAAGGTCGCCAGGCAAACCAGGAACATCACGGGCCACCGACAAAAATCATGTTTATGCCGATCTCTTGCTCCTCGCCGATTGGGTGCGACTGAGTGGGGGGGACACTAAACGACGATTTGTGCCTGTGTACTGTCTTCTGCCATGATCCCCGATATCCGATGTTGCAAAAACAATTGTAAGTTGCAACGTCGGACGAAAATCGCGCCCGGACCCTCGGACCCCATCTTTCTGCGCCACTTTGTCGCGCCGCCCCGATCTGCGCGAGTCCGGGGGCCCGAAGTCGAGGGAGAACGCCAGTTGTGACAAAATTGCAACGCCAGGGTCTTAGGGATTCTTCCTCGACGAGAAGCCTCCCAGATGGGTCGGAGGATCGCGCCGCATCGCCGATACATCGGCGATGCATCGGCGATGCACCAGCGATGCATCGCCGACGTCGGCGGTGCATCTGCGACGTCGGCGTGGAGAAAATCGGGCTTCACATCGAGCCGCATCGGCGATGCATCCTCGATGCATCGGCGATGCGGCGCGATCCTCCGACCCCACCTATAGAAGGAAAATCAGACGCCATAAACATGAGTTTTTGGCGCTCCGCGCGGATTTCTTGGATCTGCTCTGGACCCCCCTCCCTGGCGCGCGGAGCGCGCCAGAGGCGGCGCCGGAGGCGCAGCCAGGGGGCCCATGCGCCGATCCAGAAAACCCGCGCGGCGCGCCAAAAGTTTCTATGTTTATGGCGTGTTCTTCCTCCTTCGAACCTCGCCGAGCGCGCTCCACTACTCGCAAAGTGCCTACTCGCAAACGTCCGAAAAACACCTGTCTGCTTTGATTCCCTACCTAGGCTCTGTCTAGAATGGTTCTTACCCTATTTGCTTAAAGGGCCGGGCAGTGGAAACCGCTCCGGGCGGTTCCCCCAGGATCCGCCCCGCGGTTCCCCCGGTTACGTCTCCTTGGCTTAGCGTTGCTTATCTCATCTTAGCTTAGCTTATTTCATCTTAGTTTAGCTTAGCTTCATATTAGCTCAGGTTTACCTTAGCTTAGTTTACCTTCATATTAGTTTCGCTGAGCTTTAGCATAGCAGAACACAGCATATCATAGCATAGCGTAGCATAGCATAGCGCAGCACAGCATATCATAGCATAGCCCAGCCTGGCATAGCATAGCGCAGCATAGCATAGCATAGCGCAGCATAGCATAGCATAGCGCAGCACAGCACAGCACAGCACAGCATAGCACAGCGCAGCATAGCATAGCATAGCATAGCAGAGCATAGCAGCAAAGCAAAGGGAAAGCAACAGCAACTACAGCAACGCAAAGCATTAGCATGAGTGTAATTCCCTACCTAGGCTCTGCCTAGAGGGTTAGCTTAGCTTAGCTTAGCTTAGCATAGCGCAGCGCTGCATTAGCATAGCATAACATAGCATAACATAGCATGGCATAGCATAGCGGAACATAGCATAGCATAGCATAGCATATCATAGCGCAGCTTAGCATATCATAACATAGCATAGCATAACATAGCACAGCGCAGCATGACAACTCATAGCTTAGCATACCATAGCATAACATAGCATAGCGCAGCATAGCATGACATAGCATAGCATAGCATAGCAACTAATGCTGCTTTCCTAGGGGCTCCAACTTCTAGGTAGGGTCGCACTGGGGAAATTTGATTCATCGTAGATCCCCCGCGGGGGATCCAGGCCATTTGCGAGTTCCTTTGCGTGGAACGCGCTCGTCGAGAGCCTGGGAGGCCCAAGTCCTCGACGAAGACGAGGCCTGCACCGCCAGACGAAGGGGGGGAAGCCCCCGCGGCCCGAGTGTCCGGCGGGGCGGGCGGCTCCTGGGCTCTGCAGCAGGAGACGAGGACCTCGGCGGCCTGGCGCGCGCAGGCGGCTCCAGGAGGACCCCGAGATCCGACGCTCCCCCAAAAAAGGATCTGGTGGCCCTGTTTTCCACCACCGGGGAAGGAGGAGGAGGAGGACTAGGAGGAGGACGAAGAGGAGGAGGAGGAGGAGGAGGAGGAGGAGGAGGAGGAGGAGAGGATGAGGAGGAGGAGGACCCCCTTCCCCTCCAACTTAAGGTGGTAGTGGTGGAAAACAGGCCCACCAGGATCGGTGGGATTTTGGCAGTTCTCGGCCTCCAGAGGCTTCCCCCCTTCCGCCCGGGGCGCGGCCGCGCCGGCCGGTCCCACCACCGCGCGCTCCTCATGGGAGCCGCGTCGGGTGCGCCCCAAGGCGGAGGGCACCAGCTACCCAGAAAGCCGACGCTCCACACAAATTGGAGCGGGCGGTTTTGGTTTTGGAAGCTTTCGGCCTCCAGGGGCCCTCGCCGGGCCTCGAGAGCGTCCAAAAACGACTCAGGACGAAAAGCCGGCCCCAGGGAAGTGGTCTGGGCCTCCAGGGCCCACGCATCAAAAGAAATTGGAGCAGCCGGGTGTCTGGGGACAGGCAGAAGCCTTCAAGACGGAGGGCCGACCTTCATCCTGAGGACATGCTCCTCCATGCTGGAGGCGCCTCTCGGCGGCAAGCGAGGTTCTAGGCTTTCGGGCGCTTTCGTAGCTTTTGGCGGTCTTCCGTCCTCCGGATGCGTTCCAGCGGCTGCACCTCGCTGAGAGCGTTCCGGGGATGCCCAGACCCAGATCGTCCCGAACGGCCGACAGAGACTCGAGCTATGACCTAAAAACCACGTTCGGCGGCGAGCGAGGGGGGGAAGTGAGAAGAAGAAGGCCTTCTCAGAAGGCGGCGGGACTTCTCAGAAGCCCGAGCGCCTTCTGAAAGGCTTTCTGCGTCTTCGGGGAAGGCCCAGAAGGCGGCGGGACTTCTCAGAAACCCTCGCGCCTTCTGAAAGGCTGTCTGCGTCTTCGGGGAAGGCCCATGAAACTTCTCAGAAGGCCGGGGGACTTCCGAGCCTTCTGAGAAGGCCCGCCCCTTCTCGGACGCCTCTCGGCTTTCCGGTGGGCGTTCGGGACGATCCAGGCACCCTTGGAACGGCCTCCGCGAGGCGCACCCAGAGGCTGGAAACCCGCCGAGAACCTACGACGCCGCCCGAAAACCTCGAATCTCGAACCTTGAGCCCGAAACTCCCGAACTTTCCCCCCCGGGCTCGCCGCCGAGCTTCGCCTCCAGAGCAGAGGTCCGAGTTCCCGGATGGATGTTCTCGGTTCTCTGGGGGGGGGGTCGGAGAACGGGGAGGGGAGGGGGCCCCGAGGACATCCCCCTGCTAGGGCCCAGATGCGCCCGAAAAGGGAAGCCACGAAAAGGGGGATGAGGGGCACTGGGGATCCCCATTATTTATCCGATCGGCGCGGACCCTCGCCCCCCCTCCCCCTCATGGAGTAGATCTTGGCTGCTTTTGGGCGCCTGTTTCGAGCAGGTGGAGCCTCCCCCCCATAAGACGCACGGTCCCAAACAGTCGCATTTAAGCAGAGGTCCGGAGCCAGACCCCCCCTCCCCCCCTTCCGCCCAATATCGAAACAACGAATAAGAGAACGTCCACCTTCCTTTGGTCTCGGTGCACCGAACTCAGATCTCCGACGGTATGACTTGCTCGACTCGCGTTTTGTTCCTTGATTCCGGCCTCGACAGCGCAAGGGCAGCGCGTCCGACTCCAGATCAGAAGGTCGGGGGCTCGAATCCCTCTGCCCTCGCATTGCTTGCTGGCAGGGCGCCCAACCCGCCCAGTGACAGCCAGGTCGGCGGGCAGTCCCGCGGCACCCCCACGCTGCACCAGCTCCTGCGCGAAACGACGTGTCACTCAAGCCCGCTCTCGGGCCGACTCTCGGGCCCCAGGGCTACTGAAAACGGGGTCCTGGACGCACCACTAGTTGACTCTAGGGATGCGGTCGGGAGCAATGGGGGCGCGGAGTTCAATGGGGTGGAGGATGTCTGGGAATGGGGGGGGCCACGAAGAGGATGGGGTGCGCATCATGACCCGGGGCACGAGCAAGACGAGCGGGGGCCAGCGGGTGTGCTCAAACAGAAACAAGGCCCCAAGAGGCTCCCAAACGACCCCCAAGAGGCTTCCAAGCTGCTTCAACGAGGCCTCCGAGAAGCCTCCCACGAGATCCCGCCGACCATCCAATTGGCTTCAGATCCACAACCCACGCACGGTGGCGGGATAGGCCGAAGGCCATTCGATCGACAGGGGGCCATGACATGTGGGAGACACCAGAGCCCTGGCCATGTCCCCCCCGCAAGTAGCCCTCACCCCCTGCTTGGACGCACCGGGCTGGTCCTCCCCTGCTGCTCTGTTGCTCTGGCCCTCGTGGCCCCCGTTGCCCCCTGCGGTTCGTGCGAGCTCCGCGGCTCACGCGGGTCCGCCCTGCCCCCCACCGTGCACCTCGCGCCTCTGGGCAACCGCAAAAAAACCGGACCGAATGGTCACAGACGCATCGGGCCACAGCGGAGACCGACGACTCTCGCACGCGCACGCACGCAACATGCACATTTTCCTCCAGTGTCCGAAGGGAAGTCGCTGCAGCAGGAGCGGAGGCGGGGCACACTCAGCGCCAATGCCACCTCACGGTGCAGATAGGTGGGCTACGCAGAGCGAGTAGTGTGCAGAGTGAAGGTGGCCGCACTGGGCGGTCACGAACGCTAACACACACACACACACTCATACACACACACACCACAACGCACACATACGCACACACACACTCACTCATACACACACACACACACACCAAAACACACACACACACACACGCACTTACGCACACACACGCCACACATACACACACACACGCCACACGCCACACACACACACACACGCTTACAAACACACACACACACGCACTTACGCACACTTACACTTACACTTACACTTACACTTACGCTTACACTTGCGCTTACACCTACACCTACACTTACAGTTGCACGTACAATGAGGCTTACACTTACACTTACACTTACACCTACACTTACACTTACACACATGTTGCTCAAGCGTCGCCTACTTGTACACACTGCCACGCCCAGCCCAGGAAATACCATCCACGGGCGCGGTGCGTCGGAAAGCGACGACGATAACGACAACTACGCCTGGCGGAACATTAAAGCGTGTGCGCGAGCGGTACAGTAAATCGGAACCTTGCGAGCGTCAATGCGGCAAGGCTGGGGAAACAGAATGCATGACACGTGTTTGCAAGCGTGGACCTTGTATGTCCCGCCAGCCCGTTAGGGCGCGAATGGTTTAGGCGAACTACAACCCTCGTCAAAATGAACCTCAAACATGTCTTACGTGGTTGAACTGTTTGTGGGGAGATACTGGACATAGTAGCGGTGACTGCGAGGTACTTGTATGCGCCTCCCCTCCAGTGTCGGTCATCATCGAACTTCCGAATCGTTCCCAGTCAGACCACCTTTGACCTGGCCCGACATTGGAGGGGGCGTCTATCGACATTGAAGGGCGCGCCGACATCGCAAGGACGTGTTCGCTGTTTTGAAATTAGTTTTGACGAGGGTAGTAGTGCCAATCCCAGCCGCCTGGGGCCAACCCCGGCTGCTCACAAATAAACTATAAAGCCAAGATGTCTTGCAGACGCTCCAGAACAACATGAATATGCTTAAGGGCACCCGTTCGTACTTTCCGTCTTCCATCGCAGGGATTGGTCCCTGTTTTGTGCGAATCCTGCAGAACCCCCTGTGAATCGTAGGCGAAGCCCATGTGAATCGTATACGAATCCCATGTGAATTCTATACGATCCCAATGTATACGACTCCGATGTGAATCGTACACGATTCCTATGATAATCGCTTACGATTCGAATGTATAACGACTCCTTCGTGAATCGTACACGATTCCTACCAGGAGGCCCCATGAGGCCCCCCCTTGGGCCCCCAAGATGCCTCCAAGAGGCTCCCAAGAGACCCCCAAGAGGCTCCAGGATGTCCCCGAGAGGCAACCAAGACGCCTCAAGAGGCCCCGGGGCTGCTAAGAAACCCCGCAGACGCCCCAAGAGGACTCCAAGAAACTCTCGAAAGAAATCCGAGGAGACTCCGGGAGGCATCCAAAAGGCCTCTGGTCTTTCTGCTCGCCCTCCTCCTCCTCCTCCTCCTCCTCCTCCTCATCATCATCATCATCCGCTTTCTCCTCCTCCTCCTTCCTCCTCCCTCCTCCCCCTCCCCCTCTCCACCCTCCTCCTCCTCCTCCTCCTCCTCCTCCTCCTCCTCCTTCTGCTCCTCCTCCGATTTCTCCTCCATTTTCCCACTCTTGGGGTACGACGTCTTACCCAACCCTTTATTCCGTCCTCCCCAACCCCCAACCCTTTATTCCACTGCATTTTCCTCCACATTCCTGATCAAGGCAACTCGTCCGGGCATCGTTTCTGGATGGGCTGGCGGGGCTACTTTTTTTGGTCGCGGCCGCAAGCGAAGGCGCAGGCGGCGTCAGAAGTCGTCCCGGGCTACGGGCGATACCTGCTGGTGGGGTTACTTTTTTGGTCGGCGGCCGCTCGACTACGGTCTGGCGGCGACAGGCATGTCCGGGACGGCGGTGCAGGCAAATTGCACACAAGGCGTGCGGTGCACGTGCACTGAGCAAAATGCTTCACATTCGCAGTGACGCACCTAGGCGCCGCCCAGTCCAGAGAGAACGAGCGAACAGCGGTGCGAGTGCTACGGAGGGAGTCGCCCTTGCGGCGCCAAGCTCCGAGCATCGCCCCAAATAGACAACTGGGACCAGCCTGGGGGGGGGCAGCAGGCGGTGGAAAACAAGGGCCGTCGGCGCTGAAGGCTGGACCACTCAGCGCGCAGCCAACGAACACCACCTCAGAATTGTTGGGGCTGGCGGCGACCGACGGACGAGTCGGCACCGGTGGAAAAGACCCGGCAGGTGCGCCGAGAAACGCGGGCGAGGCATCACTCTGGCAGGGCA